CCAGCTCTACACCTTGTTATCTGACAACAGGAACATCCTGGATTGTTTCCAGACTGTGTTGTGACTAGATCCCAGAACGTTTTCTTCCTGTCTAATTCTATGATCAGAGAGATGACTTGGAAAATGTAGTTAACGAGTACAAATTTTAAAAAATTAACTCAAAAGGATGGGGCAAAGAGAATGAGGGTGATAATGCTTAGCCCATCTTCTATAACAGATATGCAGCAAATGGATTTGGAATTAAAAAAGTTATATCAAACAGCCTACTCAGAGGCAGAATCAGAAAAATACCTGAATGTTATTATCGTAAAGACGAACTCTTAATGAGGAAATGGAGACCATCCCAATTACCAGCTGATGAGGAATAAGCTGTGCCATCTGATCATTGTAAAGAAATTTTGCAAGTGGTTCACAAAATTCCAATGGCAGCTAACTTAGACTTTAAGAAAGCATAGATGAAAATATTAAAACAGTTATATTGGCCCGGATTACATAAAGAATTTGTCAAATTTTGCCAGAAGTGTCACTCAGGATAGGTAGTGGGGAAATCTCAACTAAAGAACCATTTAGCAGAGTTTTAATAGATTATGAAGGATCCCTACCTAAAATCAGAAATGGGAACCAGAATCTTTTATCAATTATAGATGACTCCTCGGAACTTCTTGAAGCAGTGCCTTTAGGTAAATTACTGCAAAAATTGTAGTGGTGAAATGAATTCCATTTTTGTTTTTTTCTTAAAACAAGATTATGGATTACCCATTCCGTCAAAGCTCAAATTTTATGCTGCAATATTCAAAGAAATGACTAATTTAGAAATAAAACATCTTTTGCTCCTCACCCACATTCTCGAACTGCATTAGAAAGAAGGCATCAAAGTTTGAAGACCTAAGATTACAATTCATTGCCACGAACGTCCGAATGATTGGGATAAGGGAATTCCTTTGTTACTATGTGCCATTAGGGATGCTCCTACTGAGTTGACAGAATATTGCATTTTTTAACTAATGTATGTACACGAGATGAGGACCAATTAAAACTAATTACAGAGAAACTGATAAAGCAAAGCTCCAAAACTATACTCCAAACTGTGTTTCAACTTAAGAGAACAATTTACAATGCCTTTAGGTTGATTGAAAAGCATTTAAAGAATGTGCAGCAAACATTGAAAGCTATAGCAGTTATTGTCAAAGTTCCTAATTTTGTTGCCAAAGACAATGTGTCAGTGTTGTTACCTGCCTTTGGAGCTTATCACATCAAAAATGGAACTCAATGTAAATTATGCAGTGGGTACTTGAGACAGGAAAAAGAATCAGACAGGAAAGTGCCATAATAACACACTGTTGAAGAGATATTATGACATGAACAATACCCAAAAGAAAAGTGTACTTACATCAGTGGAAGAAATAAGGAATGAAATAGAAATGAGAAATTGGAAATTGGGGAATCAAATTGATAATTTAAACACTGACCCTCCAACAATCAGATTGGAAAACAGAAGTGCTTACATTAGTTTATCTTCCAAGAGACTATCAGAGTATCATAGAATTATAAATCAATTTGTGGTCATTCAAACTGGTTGTTGATACCAGCGATATCAATTTGAGAGTGATTTTGCTGCAAGATGACAAGATAGACATTTTCCAAGAAACTGACCATATGTCAGCAAAAATACTCCACACTGGAAAAATAGACCTTTAGTCTTGTGATGGGTCTATATAATTTGGTTCCATGATATGAGGTGTGAGATTGATACATATTTCAATGTAATTTATTTCTGGACTGTGAACCAGTGGCATATAGCTTTAAAGTGATTTATAATCAATATGCAAGAATTTCTGTTGCCAGAGTGATTCCTTTTAAAACTCAGTATTACAGAAAGCAAAGAGGATTTGCTTACAGTGGAAGTGCTTATGAGCAAACAAAGTAAAGTCTGCAACAAAATCAAATTGCTGGAGAAACTCAGCAGGTCTGGCAGCATCTGTGATGAGAAAGCAGAGTTAATGTTGAATCCAGTGACCTTTTTTCAGATTTCAGCTGTTTTTGCTTCTGGTTTTGTTTCAGATCTTCAGGGACCACTGTTCTTTTTTTTTAATTTTAAAGTAAACCGTGTAGTGCATTAGGCTTTCAAATAGAAGATTTTGGATTTTTGGGAGTGTTAATGAGAAATACCCATAGCTTTGAAAAAACAGTTTGGCGCAGTTTGCAGAAGTCCTAACTGAAGATGGATGTGTAAGGCAGTTGTTCCTGCAAAAAAAAGGGAGGCAGTTTTTAGGTCAGTTTAAGGAAAAGGCTACCCCAGTGTATAGAGATAAGTTTAAAATTTCCAGGCCAGGAGAGTCTGGATAAAACTCTTGAGGGGTTATTTGAAGCTGAGAAAATCTAAATACAGTTGGGTGAAGGCTCCAGAAGAAGCTAACAGACCTGCAATTAAACCTGAAATTAAGTTAAATTAAGCCCTATGGATATGAAAGAGAAGTAAATTCTCTGGTGACTACTGTAAAGGATTGTTTTTGGGATTAATACAATTAAACTTTTACAGTGTGTTTTGAAATCTTTGAAGTTATTTTATATAAACAGTTGGGTTTATTGTAATATATTCTTTGCATACTAAACTGCCAATTGTTATTAAACCTGCATTTGCAGCATTGCATTGCTTTTCAGTGAAAGACCGCTTCATTAAAAGAAAATATGATCTATTGCATTAGATTTCAATCTGGGATCTGGTATGTCCAGTAATAACATCAGCCAGGATCATCACTGCATAGAATACGCGTGCGTGTACTTGCGTGAGAGAGTGCATGAGTGAGACAGAACACAAGCAAAGGAGACAGAGAGAGAGACAGACAGATAGAGGCACAGAGGGAGGGACAGGCGAGGATGGATCAGTGAAAGGGACAGAATGAGAGATGTGAGACGTAGTGAAAGCTCGAGTGTGCGTGAAAAGCCGTGAAAACAGCAAGTGAGAGAGCAGGAGTATTTCGGTGGACATAAAATATAACGTGTGCTTGGAAGGCAGTGATTGAGTAAGAGTGTGTGTGTGGGAAGGAGAGATCCAGATACACACCCATCCATTCCCCTCATCCGCTTCCCGAGAAACCCATCTACAAAGCAGACTGGGAGAGGAGAAACTTTTAGGTTGAAAGACAACAATCTTCTGATGCCCACTCCGAATTCCCCCAAGGGCAGTTTAGAGTATGTGCCAACAGAAGTAAACACAAGATCAGTGTTATCCCAACTGCATAGCTTTGTGCCCATCTCCAACCCTTCCCTTGCGATCTGTACTTGGGCTCGAGTCTAATTGTGCCCATCTCCAACCCTTCCCTTGCAATCTGTACTTGGGCTCGAGTCTAATTGTGCCCATCTCCAACCCTTCCCTTGCAATCTGTACTTGGGCTCGAGTCTATCCTTCATAGCTCTGCTTAACCAAGATTGTGAAAAAAAGCTCAGATCTGCTGTTAGACATCTCATCAATTATTTCTTAAATGATCAATTATTTCAGATTTTTCAAAAGTTCATGTTTACTGTTACGCCAAACCTCACCTTTCTGAAATTTGCTCACCAGTCCCTCCAGAGCAAGACAAAAATTGAAAGCTTACATTTTTTGTCACAGAAATCCAATTTATTGATAGTGTACAGTTAATGGCAGGTCCCTGAACAGCACTGATGTACAGAGGGATCTTGGGGTTCAAATCCATAGATCCCTGATAGTGGCCACACAATTAGATAGAGTGGTAAAGAAGGCGAATGGCATGCTTGCCTTTATTGGTCAAGGAACAGAGTACAAGAGTCAGATGTCATGTTGCAGCTTTATAAAACTTTGGTTAGGCCACACTTAAGAGTAAGGTGTTCATTTCTGGTCACCACATTACAGGAAGGATGTGGAGGCTTTGGAGAGGGTGCAGAAGAGGTTTACCAGGATGCTGCCTGGATTAGAGGGTATAAGCTATAAGGAGAGGCTAGAAAAATTCAGGCTCTTTTCTCTGGAGCAGTGGAGGCTAAGGGGACACTTGATAGAAATTATGAGAAGCATTGATAGGATTGATAGTCAGAATCTTCTTCCCCAGAGTTGAAATGTCCAAAACTAGTGGGTATGCATTTAAGGTTGGCGGGGTGGGGGGGAGATGCTGGGAAAGAAGAGTTGAAAGGAGATGTTAGGAGCAAGTGTTTTTTTTTTTTTTTACACAGAGTGCGGTCAGAGCCTGGAGCATGCTGCCAGGGGAGGTGGTGGAGGTAGATAGGGGCGTTTAAGGGACTTTTAGATAAGCACATGAACATGCAAGCATTGGAGGGAAATGGATCAAGGGTAGGTAGAAAGATTAATTTAATTTGGCGTCATATTTGGCACAACATCGTGGGCTAAAGGGCTCATTCCTATGCTGTACAGCTGAAAATGTAAGTTAAAAATATCTATTTAATTGTAAACTGCAATAGCTGAAGGAATGAGGACATCAAGAAAATGAAATATAAACAAACCTTGTGTTTAAGGATTGAAAGACAAAATGCACTAAAATATTCTATTTTGGCAGATGTTTCTGAAACATTAGAATCTTTAAATCTTCAAAACTCTCTTCGCATAATCTAACCCCTCCCTCATTTCAGACAAAATCAAATCAAAATAAATCTAGGAAAGAATGAATTGGCATTATGTCATGCCAGTAGCTTTGAGCCCAAATATTGTGATCACTGAACCATCACTGTGAGAATCCAACTAAGTCACAAAATACCCAAACCATAATGTGGGGAATGGAATTCAGTTACATTTTCTTTAAAAATAGCTAAGTAAAAAACTGAAATAATTAATATTCTGACAGATTTTGGTACACTCAACCTACCTTTTAAACACAGCAGTTTCAGTTTTGGCATCTACAGTAAGACTGACTGTTTCTTTCATAGAGCCATTTGTAACCGTCTCTGTTACTTGGTCTGTCGCCACCTCTTCATCTTCTCCAAACAAGGTGGATTCTACATTTAATGTGGTTGACACTGCTGTTTGCTCCTTGCAGGCAAGCTGTGAAGTTGCAACAAAATCTGCAGGTTGAAGATAGGATCAGTTAAGATCTGTAGAATTGCACAACTAGGCACGTTAAGTAGAAATCATGTTTAAAAATGTAACTGACTATTATCTTAGACAATGCAAAATGCTGTCATGTTTCACTTTATTTGTTTTTCTAAATAGTATCTATGCTGTCAGATTAGCCAAACTTTTACTTAAAGAACATGCTGAAGAGTAGATTTACTGAAAAACAAAACGGAATTATAATGTAAATATTAACATTTGTATTGAGTTTTAGATTGTCTTCCTCCAAATAATCAAATTTATTTTCACCTAAAGACTAAAAAAGACATGATTAATCAAATTTAAAGATAAAATTCCTAGTCTGGAAGGATTATATCTGTACATAAAAAGTAGTCAAGGAAGAGACTGCAGAGGGCGCTAGTACATTATATAAAAATAATAAATAAAAAAGGGACTTATGCCAGAGGGACAGCAGGTAGTTAAGATACAAAAACAGAAATTGCTGAAAAAGTTCAGCAGGTCTGGCAGCATCTGTGGAAAAAAATCAGAGTTAATGTTTCAGGACCAGTGACCTTTCCTCAGTTCTGCTGAGTTTTACCAGCAATTTCCGTTTTTGTTTCTGATTTCCAGCATCCGCAGTTCGTTCAGTTTTTATTTAGATGGTTAAGATAATTTCCAAACTTAAGGCAGATAACAATAATGTAGATGTAATGTACTTGGCTTTCTAAAAGGACCTTAAATCAAGTACCATATAATAGATTCATGACTATGTAGAGCATAAGAAGGGGGACGGTGATAAGTCAGAGGTCATTGTACACGATATAGGTAGAATGAACGATGGCAACTTGCATCAAGAATTCACAGAACTAGGCAACAGATTAATATTCAGGACCTCCAAGGTCATAACCTCTGGATTACTCCCGGTGTCACGTGCTAATGCACGTAGAAAAAGGAGAACATGGCAGATGTATGGCTCAGAAGTTGTTGCAGGAGGGGGAATCTTATATTTCCTGGATTTACTGGTTCCATTTCTGGGCAAGTGGGACAGTCTGCACTTGAACCAAAATGTAATCAACATCCTTTCAGTTAGGTCTGCTAGTGCTGTTGAGGGGAGTTTAAACAAGTTCAGCAGTCAGAGGGGCAAAGAGCATTAGTACAATAAGGACACGGAATAATAAGGTATAGGAACTCGGTTGGACAGAGTGCAGCCATGTTGCGATTCAAAGAAGGGAAGGATGGATGGCCTCTACTTTAATGCTAGAAATATTATAGGTAAAATAGATGAATTAAGGGTGTGATTGACCCATGGAATTGAGATATTGTTGCAATCACAGACATGGCAACTCAACATTCCGGGTTACAGGATCTTCAGGCAAGTCAGGAAGGGTGTAAAAGAAGAGGTGGTGTTGCAATATTAATTAAGGAGTCAGTAACTCAGTAAAGAGGGACGATATTTTGGAATGGCCTTCAAATGAGTAGACATTAGAGAAACTGGGCTTATTCTGTTTGGAGCAGAGAAGATTAAGAGGTGACCTTGTTGAGGTATTCAAAATCATCAACAATTTTGACAGGGTAAAGGAGGATATCTGGTTTCCACTAGTTGATAGGTCAATAACTAGGGGTCACAATTTCAAGATGTCAGCAATAGAGCTAAGAGTGAGACGAGGAGAAATTTATTTATGCAGAATAGTTAGGATTTGGAATGCATTGCCTGGGAGAGTGGTACAGGCAATTCCATATGATGTTTCAAAAGACAGCTGGATATATATTTGAAAGTGATGAATTTAGGGGGCTATGGAGATAGGGCTGAACAATGGCACCAGCTGGGTCGGTCTTTTGGGAGCTGGTAGAGACATGATGGTTCGAACAGCCTCCTGTACTGTAAAATTCTATTATTCTGTTTGGAATAAAAAAGGGGACAGTCACATTGGAGTGACTGTATTTTTGATTACAATGACAACAACATTATTAAATTAGGAACATCAACTTCCCAAACATTAATTGGGATAGTCAGCATAAAAGGTTTAGAGGGGGCAGATTTCTTGAATACATTCAAACCTTTTTATGTCAACCTGTAGAAGGTCCAACAAAGGGTGCTGCATCTAAATCTAGGGAACAAAGTTGTACAGATGATCAAAGTGACTGTGGGGGACCATATTAGTGATAGCAACCACAATGCAATACAATTTAAGCTTGTTATGAAAAATGAAAAAGATGGTCTGCGAAAAAAGGGTATTGGATTGGGGGAAAACAGAATTTTTAAAATTAGGGCAACCTTTGGGAAAATCTACAGAAAAATACTGGGAGGGCGTTCAAAAAAGAAATGGGGACAGTGCAGGCCCAACATATCCCCTTTAGAGTGACAGGTAGGAGCAACAAGCCCAAAGATCCCTAGATGTATAAAAATATTCAGGTCTAAATAAGGTAAAAAGAGGGTGCAGAGAAAGCAAATCAAGGGAAGTTCTAATAGAGTACGGAAAGTGTAGAGGAGAAACTTTAAGAAAATTGGAAGTGGACTTCACATGCAAAAATGTTCAACCATGCTGAGAACCAGATTATGGTAGTTAAGAAGGTAAATGTGGCCAAAGTGATGTAGTAACACAGGACAAGGTTGTTTGACCTCAAAGACAACACCTAAATTGGGCATGAAAGTAACATGTTTGAGAGTACAGGAAATGGAGAATTCCACTAGAAGAGTGAGAACAGGAAAAGCAACTGACAAATTTATCAACAAATACACAATTCTCTAAATGTACAAGATGAGGGACAGTTACTAAGATCTATGGATTGGCAAAATTGGATGATACAGAAGAGAAACTATAGAAATTAAACAAGTGTTAATGGTTTGAGTGATACAGCAAGAGTATGATACTTCTCAGTTAGGTTCGTCTTGCTGAAATTAGGCTACATTTAGCTTTAAGCAGACCGAGCAATGATATCAGGGAGAAAAACTAGCATGCATCTTTATGATGCACATCAATGATTTTCTGTGAGGAGATTCTATGGAATTTGAACAAAGTGAAATACATAAAATAAAGAGAGAATTTAAGATTTAAAGTTAGGCTTCAGTGGCCTTCAAACATAGAAAGTTAGACATTCAGCAGAACACGTCAGGAATGAATTTAGATCAATAGTTTTACTTGTAAAATGTTAACTGCATCCCAATAAATTGGGCCAGAACCTCAAAGAAAGATGACTTTGCATTGAGGGTAAAAACTGACCAGTTGATACATTTGGACAGTTAAACTGATTGTGCACTCAGACTTGACAAGATGCCAAGTAAGGATGTATTGGTGAAATAGTCCTGGGGACCATAAGCTGCTCTCTCTTTAAATAGTAAGAGAACTGGTGATAAATCTAACATGAGGGTCACCACATTTCAGGCAATGGGAAAAGTTGTATTATGATGAAACGTGCGATCATCAAGGAAGTCTGGACAAAAAAAAAATTAAAAGAATGAAATTCAGAAAAATGAAAACAGGCTTCCAGCCTTGAGTGTCCCAAATGACATTGGTAAAACAGGTTTGCTTCATGTTTCAGATGTCAATCTTCTGGATGGCTATTAGAATATGGCAGTTTTTGTCATATTTTTGATGAGAAATGTTTAACAGAATAAATGTTTTCAACCAGCCTGGAAGCCAAGAAAATAAAATGGACTGTTGAAAATATCTTGGCTGATGAAACAGTAGTGCTATAGGAAGAGGGGTGTACTTATCCAATATTCCAAAGGAAATCTTATTTCAATGGTCAATCCCAGAAGGTTTGTCTATAGAATGTTGTGCATAACCATTCTCTTTCAGGCAACATACATTTTACAAAGTGGGTTTCTGAAAGAGCCAGCATGCAACCACATAAAAAAGTTAAGACACAGAGTGACCACTCAGCCCACCATATCTATGGTGGTAGAGTCAAAACCAATTAGCCGCCCATTCTAATCCTAGCTTCTAGCATCTGGTATAGCATTTAAGTGCAGATTTAGGTACCTTTCAAATAAGTGGGGAGGTTTCTGCCTCCACCACCAAACTGGGCAAAGATTGACAGACACTCACTACCTCCAGGGGAGAAATTTTTCCTGACCTCTTCGAGTCTTCTACTAATCATTTTATATATGTGCCTCTGATAGTTGACCTCTTGGCTAAGGGAAACAGGTCTTTCCTATCTACTCTATTCAGGCCTCTCAGTTTTATATACCTCAATTAAGTCACCACATAGCTTCCTTTTTCTTAGGAAAACAACTCTTGCCTTTCCAATATTTCTCATTGCTGCAATTTCGAGCAATTGCAGAACAGTATGCAAAATTCCAGTTGTGGCCTAACCAGCATTTTATAAATTTCCAACATCATATCCCTGCTTTTGCATTCACTACCTTGTTCAATGAAAGAAAGCATTTCATCTGCTCTCTTTATCACATTTTCTACCTATTCTGCCATTCAAGACGGCAGCAGAGTAGCAGCGTAGCATGCAGGTTCCTGCCCGGAGCTCATCCGTCTGCTTGTATTTTTTTTTCTTCTTTCACTGCTCTTTCTTCCCTTACTTTAATCTACTTACCTTCTGTGGAGAGTGGGTTTGTGCAGCGCAGAGGAGAATGAGCCCACATGACGGCGAGAGAGGTCCTCCGGCATCTGCAGCAATGGTAAGAACTGGCAGCCCGCGGTGGCGGCGTGAGCAGGCAGCCAAGATCTCCCAGCATTTGCGGGGAAGATCGAGCCAGCACAGGGAGAGGGAGCCCATTGCGGTAGAGGAGCCCATTGTGGAGGAAAATTGAGCCCTTAAGGGGATTGCGAGGCAGGCATAGCTAAGTACTCAAGAAAGACTGTAATTTTGAACTTACAACTTTCGTTTTCTACTTTGCAACTAAGATTTTGTACCTAGGTACCTTCGTACCTAAGATGGCACCAGAATTGGCAACTTCATACATTTTTCACTGACTCTTCTATCTCTGTACTTGAGTACACATAACAATAAAACCTAACTTTAAATCTTTAATGACCTGTGGACATGAGTCCAAGGTGTCTCATTTTTTCTATCTTTCTCAATATCCCCCCGTTTATATAGTGTATTCCCTAGCTGAGTTTGCCATCTCCATGTGCATTACATCTCATTTCTCCGGACTGAATTCCATTTGCCACTTTTTCACCTATTCAACCAAACCACTGAGATCATTTTGTAGTCCAGAGCTGTCCCCCTTCCACCGTCGAATACAAGTCTATTTGTGTCTCATCTGCAAATTTCATGTCTTCCTCATGTTGTATATATTAATGTTCGGACTTCAACAGCAAAGAACACAACATAGCACTGGAGAATGCTACAGGAAACCACTTATCACTCAAAAAAAAATTCACCAACTCTGAACTTGTTTCCTATTGCTCAACTAATTTTAGATTCAAATTGCCATTCACCTGTATCACATGGGTTTTTTTACTTTTTTGATCAGTCTGTGCAAATAATACCTTGTTAAATGCCTTACTAAATTCCACATAGACAACATCCACGGCAGTACCCTCACTGGTCGTCCTTGTTACCTCCCTTAAGAAAATGCAATTAAGACATGATCTTCCCTTAACAAAACCAAGCTTCCTATCTCTGATTAATCCATGCCTTTCCAAGTGAGAGTTTATTGTCTCTCAGAATTGATTCTGATAACTTATCCATAGAAGTCAGACTGCTCAGCCTATATATTATTCTGTATATCCTCACACCCTTTGTAAATAATGATACAACATTCGCAGAGCTCTAATCCTCTGGTATCTTACTTGTATTTAGTGAGGATTGGAAAATAATCCTAAATGCATCCATTACTTTCTCCCTGGCTTCTTTTAACAACCTTGTATACAATCTATCTGGTCCCGATGACTTATCTGCCTTCAAAGATGCCAGTCCTTCTGGTATTCCCCCTTGCATTATGCTTATTGTATGTATCATTTCACACTCCTCTAACTAGAAAGTTGACATTATTCTTCTCCTTTGTGAAGACTGTGTACAATTTCAATTGCTCATTTCTTCTACTTCTATGGTCACTAAGTAGGAATGGCAGCAATCCTGAGCCTACTGCCTAAGAGGTCCTGTGATTCATGTCCTTCCTAGATCCCTAAAACCTACTTTCAGGATCTCATCCCCTTTCCTACCCAAGTCAATGGTATTAACGTTGACCACAATCTCTTGCTGTTCAGCCACACCTGAAGAATGTCCTACAGCTACTCTGTGATATCCTTGAACCTGGCACTGGACAGGCAACATTCCACCTTGGAGTCACATCTACAGCCATAGAAACTCTATCTGTTTTGCTAATTAATACACTCCCTATCACTACTCTGCTCCCTTTCTTCTTCCTCCTGTATAGCAGAGCCACGTATGGTGCTACAAATTTGTCTCTGCCCACAATGCTTCAAGAGTCAAAATCCTCATCAGCACCAAAACTATAAACTGATTAGCAAGCAGGACCACAGGATATTCCTGTGCCATGTGTCTGATTCTCTTGGACTGCCCCGCAGTCTCCCGTTCTCTTTCTGCCTCCTTCATGGTCCTAAGCCATAGTGTGAACAATTCTGAGTGTCTTATTCAGATACCCTCAACCTTGTGGGTATGCCACAGCAACTCCAGTTGTCACTCAAACTCTAAAACCTAGAGCTCAAGTTAGGCAGTCAATGACAGTTCCTGCACGTGCAGCCCGCTAGGTCACTGATGGAGTCCACAGCTTCCCACATATTATAGGATATAAAACTGAGCTAACCAGCATGTCTCAATTTTACTTTACCTAAAAGTTTAGATTATCCCACAGGAGGAAATATCTTTTTCAAATCCACTCTGTCAAGATGACTCAGGATCTTGTTTGCTTCAATAAAGTAATTTCTTACTCTTCTACACTGCAGTAAATTACAATAGGCTTGATCGATCGGCTATGAATTGATAAAGAGGAGGTATTAGGTAGGCTGTCTGGACTTCAAAGTTGATAAACTACGAGGATTGCATGAGATAAGCAACGTAGGGCAGTTCATTTAATCTTGCTGGTGGGCAATGTTCTTCGTATACATTTGCCTTTAAGAACCTTTATCTTTAAAGACTCTAGGTGCTGCATATACACAAGGATGCAACTTCACCTATCAGGCAATCAGACTGGGTTGGCAGAAACCACACTACTGAAAGCAGTTGCTCCGCTGTAGTATTTGTTTTATAACTTATAACGTATTTCATTATTTTAAAGAAACTAAGACGATGGTTAATGAATCCCCAAGTACTGAATTGATTATTAGACCAATATCAACATGACAGAGAAGCTTTTAGATATAGAGAAGCCTTTAAAATGATATTTGGGACAACATTGAAAGTCACTTGGAAAATGGAAATCAGTTAAGGAAAGCCAGCATGAATCGAGTTAGGACAAACAATGCTTAATTAACTTGACTGAGTTTTTTCACAATGTAATAAACAGTGGATGACAGTAATTCTTTGATCTGCAATATATGGACTATCAAAAAACATTTAAATGATATGCCAATATAACAGACTTGCTAGTAGAGTTACAGTTCATGGAATAAAGCTGGAAACAGCAAAATGGAAATGGGAGTTGATGGAGTGACAGCAAATATCTGGTGGTGAACATTCTGGTTAAGTGCAGAAACTCGGTCCATGCTATCTGTCAACACGGGTCTAAAAGGTATACCAGGAATTTTGTGTACTTTTATAAAATCTTTACCTTTTATGATGACTCTGAGAATAGTGAAGTCGGATTTCCAGTGTGCTGTTCCAGTGAGACAATGTACAAAACAATTTAGAAAAAGATGGAAGTAGAGGTACCAACGTTGAACTAGTAACTCAGAGGCCCAAATTAATGCTGTCTTCAAATACCACTGTGACAATTAGTGGAATTTAAATTCAATTAACAAATATCTACAATATAAAGCTAGGCCCAGTGATAGTTGAAAAAACTCGTCTGGTACAGTAACGTCCTTCAGAGAAGGAAATTTGCTCTACTTACCTGGTCTGGCCCTACATTTTGATTCTCAAGATCCTTCTAAAATGGTCTAGCAAACCACTCATTTCAAGTGTAATTAACGCTGGGCAACAAATGTTGGCCTGCCAAATTGCAACGAATGGACAAAATAAAGGATATAATTTTAAGGGAGTGCAGGAGCAGAGGGAGCTGAAAGTATATGTGCACAAATCATTGAAGTTAGTGAGACAAGTTCAGTGCACGGTTAATAAAGCATACAGGTTCTTAAGCTTTATAAATAGGGACAGAGTACGAAAGCAAGTAAGTTATGATGAACCTGTCCAAATGGCATAGCCTTTAGAGTCCAACCATTCTATGATTATACCTATTAATACTGTATTTTTCAATTTACAGATACATTATTGATAGAATTTTCTCTTACTTTTAGCACATCTTTAAAATTTCTTAGCAATTCAACATCTGCAACAAGGAGAGTTACCTTCAGGATGTGTTAGACTATTGTGATGGGGATCCTCTGGATCTGCACTGGTTTCCATTTCAACAGGGGAACTACTTCTCAAAGGATCCTTTGAGCTGAATCAAATAATGTTTAAGTTATTTCAATTTACAGGTGTCGTAGTGCACTATTTACCCGTTACATACACCTTTACACAACTCGTAACATTACAAATATGAATCTGTTATTTGTATATTGGGCTTGACAACATTTGGACTGCATGTCACAGGTATCAATACTGTTACTCAGTGCTTGAGAACTCTTGATGCACTGTTTGTTTGGAATTATACAATTTGTACCTTCTCAGCTACATGAATGTCTCTCACAGCAAATAAAAAAACATAACGCTTCTGTAAAGTAAGATTTGATCAGCAAAGGAATGCTACAGAAACTAAATCTACATCATTAGTTCTGGACCTCAGGGTATGCTGAAATAGTTCCCAATAGTACTATTCTGACTTGGTGTGGCTGTATGCAAATTGAGGACGGAGGTTCGGAACCAGTGACATTGTCAACCTGGAGCGAGGAGGAGGAGGAGGAATGCTTTTGTTTATTACTGTTCCCAGAAGAACATTATCTCCTGGTTGTCCAACCAAGCAAAAAACATGGCACATTATTTCCTGGTTATCCACCCAAGCAAAAAACATGCCAGAGTTTTGGGAACAGCTGTAGTGACTGTATTTACTGCTGATCAAGAACAAAGTAGTTAACAAAGATCTAGCAATCCATATGGCACGGATTTTCCTTTTGCGATATTTGTTTGAGTCTGATGCAAAATTAAGACTGTGCCCAGGTGAAGCAGCAAATCATTTCAACTATACTCAAAATGGCAAACCATTGATTATCTTTCAGATGTTAATCTGAAATTATTTTAATCTCAATAAAACAATCAAGCTATCAGAAACATCAAAGAAGTTAACATTTTAAAAGTAAACAGATTTTTATCATAAAGAAAATTAAAATTGCACAAATATATTTTTCCATGATCAGAGATTTTTTGACAGCAAAGTTATTGCATCATTAAAGCCTATTCAAACTTCATTCAAGAAGACAGCTTTTTCAATGGATTTACAGTGAGACAAGAGTATTTAAAAAAAAGTTCTCAAGTTCACAGATGTCTAAAGATAGAGCTTTTCTACAAACAGAGTCAACATTTCAAAACCATGAAGACTCTCAGCTCTTGAAATGTTAACTCTGTTTCTCTCTCCACAGATACTGCCTGACCTGCGGAGTTTCTTCAGCAATTTTTGTTCATGTTTGTTTCATATCTCCAGCATCTGCTGTTCTGTGTTTTATTTTATAGCCTTTGAAGAAGTTTGTAACCCCTTAATGTGTCAATGAAGCAAAGAGAGTGAGGTCAAAGAAATCTGAGATCTGTCATGAGCAGCTCTGTTAACGCCACAGTTTATCTGTTAGCCTTGTTTACCTCACATTAATTCTGGATGCTCAAGTAAAACGTAAATTGTATTACTCTTCTAGTTTATAATCGTTCGTTCAAACTGTCAAATCTTGTGATTTTGTTTTAATTCCTAGGTATCTCACACTTTATCTTCTTCTAACAAAAGAGGGAACTGGTCTCAAGTCAAACCGTAACATAACTTTGGTGGTCTGGTCTGGGGTAGGGTCAAAAGAGATTGCATTTTTGCTATCGCTTTCACATCACAACCTGCCGCCAGAGACAAATAGCGCAAAATGGCCCCCTGACAACATTTGGATTGTTACATTAAGTAAGGGACAGATTCTTTTACAACTGGTGTTGGATTGGTAACTGAAGTTTATAAGTGCTTTCAAGCATTTGCATCTTCATGGAGTTAATTTAGTCGCATGATCTTCCTTTACTCTAATGTTTTTAAGAAATATTCTGAAGTTTTCTCTAACAGTACCAGCAGAGAAATGTAGCACAAACCATGTTTACCACAACAGTACAAGGTAGGGTAGACAAGGTCTTGGCAAATGAGGTTGAATTTCTTTCAGTAAATATTACATCATATCACACAGTAAAGGAGCACGAATTGGTAAAAGAAAAAAACCAAAATCAAAAGTGATTTCAGAAAAAGATCATAAAAGCATTATAGAAGCTAAATAGCAAAATACTACTGAAAGGATTTCAGGGCCGAACATTTTACAGTTGGGTTTGACGTCCAAATGTAGATTGATGCGAAACACTAATACAACTCACTACAGAATTTTTAGATATCCAGAACTAATACTACCTTAACTGAGATGAAAAATCAGAAAATGTAGCCCATCCAGTTTCTTGCTGTACTGAGTCACCCGAACTCCACAAGGTAGCTTCATTAGAATTTGCTGTAGTTATATTTGCTGTTTCCATAGGCACTTCAAAGTTTGCAGTCCATCCTGGTGCTGTAAAACCAATTCAGCATTTACCAATCTTTTGCTGTTACCAAAAGATCCATGACAAGCGTTACTTTTAGTTCATTCAAAAAAAATGTTTCCAACACTTTACGAATAAAGCCTTTGGGTAGCTGCTTTTGGAACTAATAACTACTCAGTTACATTAAAGATATTAAAATAAAGTCACCATAGTGCCAGAGGACCATAGGGGTGCTCTCTCATTAGAGAGAGGACTGGTAGTGGTTTAACCGGAGGGTCATTATGCCTCAGGCAAGGGAAGAGGTTGAGGAGGAAGGTCCTTCATGGTAACCTCAGGCAGTATGGGAAGTGAACCTACACTGATGGCATCACTCTGCATTGCAAACCAGCCATTTAGCCCACTGAGATAACTAGTCCCCATTTTTTTTAATTCATACAACAAACAATTGGTTTATAATCTAAACCAAATTTCTTAGCTCAGATTTTCCCCTACATTCATTGGACTTGCACCAGCTGCAACTCAAGCCAGATACTTAACAGAAATAGGAAGGTCAACAATTTCAAAGTACTGTTACAAAGATTTGTTTAAGGCCTGAGACTTCTTCGGCTTCCAGCAAGATTGCTGGAGAGACTTGAAGAAACAATCTTACAGCTGTAGACTTTCAATTTAATATCGGATTCACCAGGATCTCAAGTGTAACTATGTCAGGTCAAAACTCTCCTATTTCTAATATTCTTTAATACTGGAGTCTTGCATCTACATCTCGCTCTGTTTCTCTACCGCCCTTCAAGCTTGTCTCCGTATACCACTAACAAAACAATACAAGTAACTGTGCCAGAGGTCTCTTAACAATGCTTTGTTGACACAAATAGTCAATCCACTTAGTTCTCTACTGGCAAAGGGAAAAGACATCAAAGTGTCCAATATTGTACCTAACTGTCAATTGCTCATCATGTAATTCAGCAAGTTTATGATTACAGAGACCAATGCAATCAAATTTAATTTTGTCCTTACACATGCATTTCCAGCAAGGGGCATAAGATTCAAAATAGAACTAAAAATTTTAAAATCAACTGCACCACACCTGCCATCACCCAAGCTGAGATTAGCTGACACGGTACAGATTATGCACCAGACCTGGAATGTTTCTAATGAAGAGAGTGTGGTACAACATCCAAGCTATTCTGTTCATCATCACTAAAGGTGTATTCAACAATTCAATGGCAACAAAATTTGATCCAATACCTCAATGACTTTGGTCTCAATCCTGTCCATGTTTATTATTTTTTCATTATGTTCTTTTCTAGATCTAGAACTTAACAGAAATAAAGCTTCGGGCTTAACAAGCTCTGTTCCACCACACACAAATTTATACAATCAGACAGCAAACAGAGGCCAACAGGGAGAACAGAAATACTTTCATTGTTGACATTAACTGAAAGTATTTATCTAGCATCCCAGAGGTTCCAAAGTATATATAACTAGTCCACTAGGGAATGGTTGCTATGGATATTTAGCAAAAAGAAACACTTCCCTCAGCTAATAAAACCTTGTTATAAGGGTAAAGAAAGAAAACAGTTTTATTTCACAGCAAGTTCCTTGCATAGTTTAAATGCACTGAGGTAATGTTGTATATTAAAGCATCTCCATGGTAAAAAGTGAGAACCTTTACGATTTACAAAAGTGATTTTGTAACCAGAGAAACTTACATCAAATACTTAACCTTACAACTGCCAGATCATTTTAAAATCAACCATGATTCATGTGTTTGTTACTTGCCATCATTTGTGTCCACTTCCATTCTATCATCGGGACAGGCCCCAGGTATAAATGAATTATTCCGTTTGTCCACATCTTCATCTTCAGAATCTGTACTTTCTTCACTGTCTGTACTTCCTGAACTTCTGCTCAAAACAGAAAATTGAGGGCTTGTCAATTATAATAACAGTTAAAATTGCTTTTTAAGATTTCTTTTGGAAACTAACTTGGGGAAGGTAGTGGGAGTGTAATAGAAAAGTAGCAGTTAGGGAAAGGGGAAAGAGCTAGAAAGGCAGTGACTGGGGGAAGAGGGAAGAGCTGGGAAGAAGGAAGAGCTAGAAAGGCAGCGTCTCGGGGAAGAGGGAAGAGTTAGAAAGGCAGCAGGCAGGGGAAGGGGAAACAACTAGAAAGGCAGCCAGTAGGGCAAGGGAAAACAGCTAGAAAGGCATTGGCTGGGTGAAGGTGAAAAAAGCTAGAAAGGCAGCGGGTAGGGGAAGGGGAAAGAGTTAGAAAGGCAGCAGCTAGGAGAGGGGTGGAGGTTAGAAAAAGAGACGAGCGGGCGAGAGAGGGAGGGAGGAGTGAATCACGGTACATTCCTGTTAACATACCTGTGTCGATTTTGTGCATCTTGAGCAAATGTTATATCTTTTTCATCCCAAATATCTTCTTCATCAGAACCGCTATCATCAAATTGTTGAATCCTCTCTTTACAGCATGCCTCAAATAGAGCTACATTTGCCTGGACCAATTTGGCAAAATGTCAGAAGTTACCAACAAGATGAAATTCATTATAGATTTTATCAAAAAGACTCTAAACTACTATAAAGTAATCTCTATGTCTCAGATGTGATATTCTTTCACTTCTGTTCCCAAGATAAACTCAAACTGAATTCATCATACAAGTATAAAAATGTGCTGACATAATTTGGGGAAGGCGTGATGGAATAATCAGAACACAGTTCTGTCAGTTACACTGCATCAGTCTTTGAAAACTGTGTGGCAGGCACTTGCAAATATTTTCAAACTCCTAACAATTCCCAACTTCCAAAACGGAACTGTATTTCAATTTCAAAAAACATATCAATGCAGAGGGATGCTGCGTAAGTTATCAAATACAACATAAATATATAGAAATCAAATTGCTGTGACGTTTTCAAGGGTCTTAGTAAATGAAGACATTCTCTTGAGATGCATCTTAGCTTAGTCAAGTAGGAATATGGCACTATTACAATTAGGGTTCCAGAAAGTTTTGGTTTCAAGCACATCTCTGAAATAGGACACAATGAACACTTCAAAATTATCAAGCTCTACATTTGCAACGTTATAACAAAATCTGTTGCACTGTTGCTTTCTGAAGTTCCACACATGCCAAAGATTGTTCATTCTATGGACGGATCAATCTAATTTCTCCTTGATAACAGATCTTTTTTGTTAAATGATTAGCTTGTCTATAAAACCGAGGTGAAACAATTTGAGATTGATTATTTTCATAACTTCTGAAATACTTATTTTGACTAATTGTTCATTGTACCCAACATAAATACAAGAATTATCCTTTCATTTAGAAAACTGGCTTACAGCATATCCAACCTCGCTTCATGGTAATAGTGAGGAGCAAAGAGAACTCATTTCCATGTCATTTTCTTTGTTCTTGAATATACCCAACTGCTCCCAGACATCAACTCATCTGTCACCCAGTAAATGAATTAAGTAGTCAGGGTGGTCTCACACAAAGGAGACAATTCTGTTATGATTACATTAAATCTTACAACCAAGATCTCATACCTTATCAGATTGCAATATTTAATTACAGGAATAAAATGTACTACCATACTACCAAACTAAATACATTTAGTCAATTTAAAAACATTGCCAATTATTAGTTATGGAAAGGTAGAAGATGTAACCAAGAATAAAAATGTTCAGTTGGAGTAAGCTAATGAAAATAAATTGAAGAGGGATCTGACCTAGGTAAACTGGAGCAAAAGACTTGGTGCAAATATAATGCAGCAACTGTCAGCCTTGAAGGAGGAGATTCTCATGTAGACTATGTACATGACCACAAAGAGTGTAGAGGTGGGGGTGGTGGACAGAAGCAGAAAACAGAGACGAATAGCATGTCAGCTTGGCAAATGTAAGATCAGGCTAAATGTAAAAGGTACAGAGAACGACTGAAAAAGGAAATAAGTGGGGCAAATACACTGTGCAACTATAGAATAGCAGCTAGAAAAGGAAATCTCAAAAGTATTTTATTGGCAATCATTTCACTGTTAAAATGCCAAAGGAGTGGTGGGACAAGTGTGAGACAGCGAGCACGAGTGTAAAGCCAAGCACGAAAATTATAGTGTAGTTATAAATATCTGAATAATACTAGTACAAAAGGCAGACAGGGGCAAATATTTTCAAACGTGTTCCAGAGAATTTTCTACAGCAGGCTGTTTCTGGTCCAATGAGAAAGCACTGCTGAAGAGGATTCTTTGGAATGAGGTGTGCCATGTGGATCAAGTGTCAGTATGAGAGTATCTAGGGAATGGTATCATTGTATCATAAAAAGTTTAGGTTGAGTATGAAAAATCACTAAGTAGAATCCAGAGCAAGAATAATTAATTTGAGGAAAAGCCAACTTCAGTGGGGTATGAATGAATCTCACGCATATAAAGTGGAATCCATTAGGTGACAAACAAAAACTGAACAATGGACTCTAATGATGAGCTGATTTATGCAAAACCAAGGTATATTTCCACAAAGGAAAAGAAAGGGCAAATAAATCCAGAGCTCAGTGGATGACAAAGGAGATACTAAATAAGAAGGGGAAAAATGTGCTTATGACAAACGTTAAGTAGATAGTACATCTGAGAACCATGCTGATTATAGAAGGTTCAGAGGGGAACTGAAAAAGCAAGAAAGAAAACAAAGGGTATGAGACGCAACAGACAGCTAACAGAAAACAGAATCCAAAAATCTTTTATAAGCTTATAGATTGTCAAAGAGTGTTAAAACAGGATGGGGCTGAGTAGGCAACAAATGGCGATTTGAACATGGAGTAAAGTAGCTTGGCAGAGGTAATGAAATTAACGTTGTTCAACATTTTTTGACCAAGAAAGATATTGCTGCACAGATCACAGTGAAAGCAGAGGTTGTTCAGTCAAACAAAGAACTTAAAGTTAACAATGAGTGGGTAATGGATAGACTCTCTGTACTTAAATGTCATAAGACACCAGGAATGAATGTGTTCTATCCTCAGATTTGGGCAAATGAGTGTGGAAAATGTCAAAGCACTGGCTTTAATTTTTCAGCTGTCTTTCAAATAGGGCACGGTGCAGGAGAACTGGAGAATTGCAAATCTTACAACCCGGTAAAAAAAATGACAAAGGTAAGTTCAGCAGTCACAGAATAGTCAGCTTAATCTCAGCAGTACGGAACAGTCATACTGGACTCGAAACATTAAATGAAATTTGGGATCTTTCTGGTCTGCATTGGTCAGGTATTCACTGGATAGGAGCTGACATTCAGAAATTGATGACTACGTTTTGCAGTTTCTTTATGTCCAACTAGCTTGAAGTTGATTGTCCACAACACCCTACCAAACAAACATTATAAAAATGAAATACTTACACTCTCATTTGTATTCAGTGAGAAGTTGATATCAGCAATTCTTTCAAAGGGAACACTGCAAATGATTCAAAATGTTTTCTATGGTTATAATACTCCAAGTTATAAACTGACTTTAAGCAATATGAACTGTGGTTTCATAAAAATATGATTGCCATTCACAAATGATCTGTTTCACACTATTTGAGAAGTTACCCAAGTTTATGTTAATAAGGGAAGAAAAAAATCCATAATTGATCCTTGCCAATTCATCCAAATATTACAACATAATTATTTACCAGGACTTGCATTTTGCATTGTGCACAACAGAAAATCAAAGTAACACATTTTGCACACATTTCAATATTCATCAAATAAAAAAGATTAAACAAGTGTCATTTAACAATCGATATTGGAGTTCGTGGTGAATAAGTAAATACAATATGTAGATCAATTACCTACCTTATGATTAAGCTCATTCTTTGAATATACTTCCTCTACCACATATGATAGGATACCAACTGGCCACAAGTTAAGAGAATTAACTGCATTCTTCAAGGATTTTATGCTCTGTAGACATCTCTTTTCCATTCTCAAAAAGGAAAAAAGGTCTACCATGAGACCAAACTCAGGGAGCCTGTAATGGAAGTTACTTGTACAGAATATCTCCTTTCAGTGCCTTTAATGTGGTTAAACATTCCAAGAGACTTCACAGATGAAGTCAGATCCAAATCTGAACAGGATGGTGACAAGCAAGAAGTTAAAGCAGTGAAACTAAAGATGTCAAATTTACTCCCAATCAGAAATGGTGATGAAGGATGGAAGGTAGAATTTGAATACAACTTATCTTTTACATAGAAAAGGAGACAGAGGTCAATCTTAGGAAATTTTAACTGATGACATATTTTCCGCATACGTCAATATTATGTCAATGCCACAAGCAATTAATTCAGGCTTTTCAAAAAATCAGGCCCGTTGCAGGAATTGACCGAGAAAGAATTTTCCTTTGGAAGACATAGACAGTAAAGTGCTCGAAAAGGTGTGGGAATTGCTCCACACAACAAATGCTGATATACCATAATGAAATAGAATCATAAAATTTATGAAACAATCATTAAACAACCTCTCGCTGACCAATTACCAATTTGCCAGCAAAGAAGATATTCTACAGCTCATCTGGCAAAATGTGTAACGGAAAGATGGGGTATTATAATGCTTTAAAATCTAATTGATACAATCTAAACATTTTAGCTTCAGCAAGAAAATTAACTTTTAAGTTAAACCACTTTTGAGTGAAAATAAAATTAAAGAATGGTTTAATCCAAATGTGACAAATATGGTGGCTTTAACACTCGAGTTTGAAGCTCAAAAATGTAAAATGCTGAAACTAAGCATGCTATTTGCAGTGTTTGCCATTGAGTGCAGGCGGAAGGTTGTCACTGCTGGATGAATTCCCATGAAGCACATGCTATGATTGTAAGCAAATGAAACTAAAGCAAGGAAGTCACAACAAATAATTTTATAGATGTTGTTTGGAAACTACTATGGACACCATTTGTTCACTTGCTTTAAGTGAATATTTCTGGTGTGAAAGATATGCACCACTGAAGTTTAAAGAGCTACAGTTAAAAGTCTGCCCCTCGTAAAAGCACCACCATCCATGGCAAGTTGTGAAAGAAATTATGATATCAAAGGGAGGAGATTCAGCTGTAAAGAGATCCAGTTCTAAAAGAGGTGAGAAATTAAATCCTCATTGAATCAAAGAAATTGCAGTTCCTTAGGAACATAAGATCATCAGTCCTTTACATCTTCTAGATTATTTAGTTTGACTTGCAATTACCTTTTTTCTTCTAAAATAAATGATTCGCCTCAAGAAGTAGACTGATATGATCGATACCAAATGTTTGGCTGCCATTTTAAAGAAGGCTTGGCTGACAGTCAAATCATGAATGCAATTTCTGGCCCAAATAACATGTTTAATATTACCACCACTTTTAAAGCAACTAAGAAAGACATGTACGTAACAAGATGTACCTACAGAACAAGGTGCATCACCACATCAAAATCATCATGATAAAACTCTTTAAAAAAAGATGTAGGTCAACAGTCACAAAGTCCACTCAATAAACTACACAGTAGGGACAAGACATCCCTTTTTGCTTTAAGAAAAGTAATAGGACAACAGTACTAATTATGCACCAGATTCTTTGTGTTGTAACTAATAATCTTAGTTCTTCATACATTTATCTTTAACATGAAATCAGAGTTGTCAGTGAGCTGTCTAAGCCTCAGGAAATGTCCATTCTTTTCTCAACACAGCCAGAGATGTTCTTCCATCCTTACTTAATATGTTTCATAAGTTTAATAGGCTTCCTCTTACCACCTTAACAAGCTGCATCTTTCTATTCTCTGTAAATCCACTCAACATATGATTTTCATTTTCCTGAATTTAACAAGCCTCCTTTCCCTTTCATCTAATGAGTAAGGTCAATTCCCCAACAGTGTCTATTTATGGCTGCCCTTCTTCAGGGCACGGATTAGGCCACTTTTGAAATATTGTGTGCAATCCTGGTCTCCTTGCTGTAAGAAGGACGTTGTGAAACTTGAAAGGGTGCAGAAAAGATTTATGAGGATGTTGCCAGGATTGGAGGGTTTCAGCTATAGGGAGAGGCTGAATAGACTGGGGCTATTTTCTCTGGAGCATCGGAGGCTGAGGGGTGACCTTATAGAGGTTCATAAAATCATGAGGGGTATGGGTAGGGTAAATAGAAAAAGGTCTTTGCCCCGGGGTGGGGGGGAATCCAAAACTAGAGGGTACAGGTTTAAGGTGAGAGGCGAAAGATTTAAAAGGGACCTAAGGGGCAACTTTTTCACACAAAGGGTGGTACATGTATGGAATAGGCTGCCAGAGGAAGTGGTGGAGGCATTTAAAAGGCATCTGGGATGGGTATATGAATAGGAAGAGTTTAGAGAGCTATGGGCCGAATGCTGGCTGATGGGACTAGATTTATCTGGGATATCTGGTCAGCACAGGCAAGTTGGACCAAAGGGTCTGTTTCTGTGCTGTACATCTCTATGACTCGATCTCCCACCTTCCTTCAAGATCACTCCATTATTCCTTATCAACTCTCTCTTTTCTGATTCCTCCCCCCCAGGAGAAAAAAAATTAGTCTCACCCTTTTATCCACCATAATCAAGTTGCATTGTTGAAATAAAGCTCATTGATCAGAAGTTTAATTCTGTTCACATGCAAATCAGGATTAATGTAGATTTTTAGCAGCTGTCAAATTTCCAGGCCAGTCGAAGATTTTCAAGTTCATACATCATTCTGACAGCCAATATCAATATTTGTATGACTATTAAAACAAAATCTCCCTTCAAATTTTTGTAGTGCTTCACCTTTTTCTTCAAAAGCATTTCTTGTTCGTTTTTCTCTTCAGGGTGTTTATATGTGCTGCTGTTTTACGAACACGGAGGATGACTCCTTGCTCAAATACACCACTTTTTTTCATTAATGGCTTGAATTCAACTGTACAAGACCCATCAGTAGACAAATAAGAAAAATAAACTAAGCTCCAGACTACTACACCAACTTGGATATCATGAGAAGGTCAGGTTGCAACTGCATGTAAATGATATACATAGAAATCTCTTGTCTCTCCGGCCTTGACTGATCATTAGATTATTTATTCATAACATTGTACTAGCTTCTACAAGGCTCCAGAGCTGCAACTTTAATAAAAATAGACTAGAAAGGGGCCTGCAAACCTATTATTTGTTTTACTTTGAGGTGCTAGAAATGGGATAGTAAGTTGGTCAAATGAGAGAGAGGGAGAGAGAAGGGAGGGGAGAGAGGGGGGAAGAGGGAGGTATTTAATGAGAAGAAGTTTGATGACAACAAGATCAACACAATGCAGATGACAGATCTGATCTGAGAAACTGAAGAAATATTATGATGTGCATTATGAGCCTAACAGGATTACTGCCTACAGACCTTCCAACATTTGGCAGATTACCTTCATAAAATTGCACGACGACTTCTGATTCCAGAAAATACTTTAACATGCACTTTTAAAAGTGCATGCATTTTAGTGAATCACTATTAACCCCATCCAAAGATTATTTTGCATACAGTTTGTCCATCAACTAATTTTCTTGTTCTTCAGTGCTAATATTGTTAAAGGTTTAACAGGAAGTCCATCATTAAAAAATGAAGGAAAATTAGATTTATACGACAGAAGGGTTTTTTTCGCTGCAAGGGTGAGATCAGTGCTTTCCAAACAGGTTTTAAGGCAAGGTACTTTGATGAGATTGGAAGATTCAAAAGGAGATATCCCAAGACCACATGACATCCAAAACATTGCTCATATCAGTCCTGGAAAAGCAGGTAAATCTATTCTTTTTGTGCTTAAATTCTGATTTGCTGGTTTAGTTCAACTGAATTTTGTAAGATTAGAGTTTTGGATTTGTCTATATAAAGTAAGTTACTAATTAGAGTGCAAGATTTATTTGCATCTGTGAATTGAGACATAATCTACTTACAATAATTCAAAATTTAGCAATTTGAATCACATTAATTTAAATTGAAATTAGGCAATAAACTTATAGTTTAAACTGTATAGGGCCTTTCAAGCTCCAAGGCTCAATGAAACGTGAAGCATAGACTTAAACAAACAAAAGGATAATTCCCCAAGCTTTTGAGATGCAGACTTGCGTCAAGATATAGTAACTTGATAAGTTTTTAAAAACTCTGAATCCAGGTTAAAAAATGATAAATCTTTTATTCTATTTACTTAATTGTGATAGCTCATATTTGAATTTGCAAACACTTTAGATTGCAAGCATTTGAGTTTGTGTGGCAATATTCAATTTTGAGGCGATAGAAAAAAAAAACTGTAGAGCAAGTCCACGTAAAGTGCAATATGGAATTTACCTCAATTGAGCTAATTGTTAGACCCAGGCTGCGTTAAACCTCTGCACGGGCAGAAGACGCAAGATGTACCCTTCCATTCACAGGAAGCACTGTACAACTGTGGGAAAAGAAAATTATACTTTAAAGGCCCGAACCATAACAAAAATCACCAGTACATTGTTGAAATAGTTCACCCATTCATATTTTATCCGTCAGCAGAAACATCTTTTCACAAGGGCTTAGACTCTCATCGTCATTGAACATATTTATGCCCAGTGAAAGTATACCTCCCTGCTCCAATTATTCAATTTCCTCTAGGGTATAAAGTTATTCCCTTTATAGGGAACATATACTCCATCTGTAATTTGACCATCATTGAGAAATCTGCAACAGAAGTAAAAAGGGCTGTAAGTTTTGCCCACTACTGAAGAATGTCTATTTGGGATCTTCTAAACAGAATGTACAGCAAACTATAGGATAGAAGGAAGGTAAATACAGAAAAGATCCTGGAGGTAAGTAACATCAGTATGTCCAAGAAAAAGCCCAATGAATCTTCAGGGATAGTAAGTAAAAAGATACATCCAGAAAGAATGTCATACGAATATTACATTCTTTGACAATTTAATGCATAATGCAGGAATGCTAAAATGCAGAATATTACCAGCCTTGCTTTGCCATTGCTTAGATATTTCATTTAAAATTCAGCAACGCTTGAGACATCCAAGTTGGCTGAAAAATGCAATAAATTGGTCTGCGTAGCAAAGATTGTCAGCAAAGGTTGTAAGCTGGACACGGACCAAGACTATTCCATAGGCAAATCCAAACCCAATGATTTCTCTTAAATTGGGTTAAATCAGTAATGAGTGACGTCAACTAGAAAGTTAACAAGACAATTTCAGACAAGAAGAAAAATTTTACTGGGGCAGAGGGGACAGCGCCCTTGCTGGTGAACCATCCAAAGTCAATTCCAGTTCCTTGTCCTCTGAGGGCTATTATTCAAATTAGTACTTTAGCCAAGGTCCATGGTAAGATGATTTTTCTTGCAACTGATGTTCGAGCTTCTATGCAGTCAGCATTTGAGGTCAGACATCAACCAAGCACTGACTGTGGTCAATTTACTTTAATGGAGAGATCACTAACTGAAAACTAAAAAGATTAACATTTTCTCTTTTTGCTAATAAAAATTCACCTTATAAATTAATTAGGAAAGGAGTTTCCATTGGCTCGACCCATTGTTTCAGACATTACGCTCCTGGCCTTGATATTTATGTGCGAGATCAAAAAAGGACAGAATGACGGAAAATCTTCTGTACCAAGATAAGCCATAGAGAACAGTTTCCTGTATTACTAAACATTGAACAGCATCTCTAATTGTACTTGTCATTAAAGCAAAATATGATTTATACAAATGATACTCTACACTAGATGTCCTGGATGGGTTCAGTCATTTTTAAGCAGAAATGTTTGAATGGTAAATTTCCCACCTCCCAAAATGATGGATATTTTCATTTAGCTTGTCACATACTGACGCTTCACCTAAGAAGCATTTTGGGGAAAGCGTGTAATTTTAAGGAGGAAACCTAGCTCTCATGGATATTTTGTATATCTGTAGTGACAAGTTCACAGGTAGTAGTGAGAGAATTCTGGAAAACATTTGCGTTCCTAAATAGGGAACAGTGCGTAGTGCAGGGAAATAAGTCTAGCAAGGTTAAAGTGGCACTATAAGCTTATCCCTAATGCAATATATCATCAAAATGGCATATGATTGAGGTTTAACACATGGATTCACCAATATACCACAAAAGAAGATGCCAAACACAGGTTCTGATATCATCCCAACAGGCAGGGGAAAGAAAGAAAAAAGTACAGCGATATCCAGCATTTGTGTTGACCAATCATTAAGTGCACATCTATGTAAATTAACATGGACTGAAGTTATAAAATATATTCCAGCCTCTAAACTGGGAAGAGGAACGAAGCTGTGTATTATGCATGAAATCTTTCACAACTACACACCAGTACAAAACTCAAACAGGGTCTCGTGTTGACAGAAGCATTGTAGCTTTTTGCATTTTAAATCAAGTTAAATTTTGTTTCAACTTTTCCACTCATCTATCTTAAAACAGAATCTAAGGCACAAAACAACAGGCAGAAAGAACATTTCAATAATTCTTTTGAGTTATCCTACAAAGGTATGGAATCTGATATCAATAACTAGCTGAATAATAGGAAAACAGATGGAACGTTTCAGTACATTTGGAGGGTCAAGTTTTTGATAGGACCAGAAGAAATGCAATATGTTAATACCAAAAACTGCTTCAACCTAGCAGTTATCATGAGATCAGTGTGAAGCTGGCCTCAAAAGAATGCAACTTAAAATGACAAAATATGGTACCCAAAATTTACAGAATAAATTTTCACAAAGGCATAAAAACCTCAATAAAGCTTCCTCTTGGAAAGCCAGTGACCACAGGGAGGATTAGAAGCATAAATATACCCAATCACAATCAAAACATTTCTGTTGCGATAAGTGAAGATGTATTTTGAATGTATCGAAAGAACAGAGCTGTGTAAAGCTGAAAACAGTGAAGTGGAGAAAGGGAAGATGAAGTCACCTCAAGGTCCAGTTACCGGAGAGGGGATATGAATTGGACTATCCACTACTTAATGAATAAGCTGTGTTCTATTAAAACTATGCAAATGAAGATTATTCTAATATAGTGAAAATAAAAGGTTGCACTACAGTTGTACTGTTGGGCATACGAGCCAAGAAAACATTATGCAGATTCTACATAACTATCAGATGCTATGGAAATTAGAGGTGGTATCAATAGATAAATGTTCAGAATTCGTGAATAACTAAGCAATATTTCCTTTTGGATGAATTGAGAACAGACTTTAAAATACAATAATTGATATTGATCTAAATTTTGTCTTGTACATGACAAAAGGGTTATTCAACATACAAATTTCTTTAACTAGCCACAAAGCCTCTGCTGATCCATTTCATATTTATCAGCAACCGTGGTTCTCAACTTAAGTTCAATTTCAGCTGAACCCCCTAAACCTGGAGCATGAGGACCTGCAAAAGGTCACCAAACCTATCTAAATCAGCAAACAACGAGCAACATTTTTCTATCAACTAGAAAAGAAAATTTAACAAACTTCAGCAAGTAAACACAGAAGGCACTAGAGGTTCCCAGTTTTCAATCTAATGGAAAAGCGAAAGATGATCTTTCATAAGCATGTGGGGCAGGGGGGCCAGGATGGAAAAGGAAATATCATAATTCTGTAGAGGTACGAAATATTTGCAAATTGGGCATCCTCATTTTCTGTGCAAGGGGACTCACATTCTTGAATAATCAATACAGCCTAGTTACTGGTTTGCAGACACATACCAGCTCTGAAAAGCTGCACACTGCAGTTCTGTATTCCTCTCACCTTAGTCAACCAAATGCACAGAGATTCAGGATTTAAAATTTCAAGCTTAAGACTAAAATTTCAGTTGTCCTTTGCATGCAGATGTAAATTATATTGCTAAAGGAGGAGAAAAAGACCCAAAGCACCAAAGCAGTTCAAAAACACCACAGGACTGTTAAAGAAAATTCAATACACCCACTGGAAAATTGTTGTTTAAGCAGAAAAATAGAAAAAAAGGATAGCACCAATCTCACTCAATTAGTTATACAAATTCATTTCAAGGAAGTGCATGCTGGATAAATATCTAGAGATAGATACCCAAGTGAAAGATTTAAACCAGTTTCAAAAAGTTCATACTTACTTCACTATGTCCTCTTGATCTGCAAACTCCTCATCGTTGAAGCCGAACTGGTCAATAAAATTGGACGTCATTTGTTGCATCTGATAATCAGAAAAGGCCTGGCAAACCCAGGACCAATGACAGGGATATAATCTTGATACTCAATCATGTAACGAGGTTAACTTAGAGGGGACCCAAACCTTCATTTTTTTAAAATTGAATTTTAAGTCTCCGTAGCTGTAAATTTGAGAATTACAAAGCATAAAATGTTTAAATTTTGAAAAAGAGCCTCTTGAAGGCAGTATTTTGTGTCAAGTAACTATTCTTCTTATTTGAACTTCAATTTCAATGTTGACAAATATTCCAAACCATGGATAATACTATACTGGGTCCAAGTTACGCCACCATCCTATGCCCAATAAAGAAATTGATCTTTTGCTGATTCTCCCCAGTCCCGCCCAATCTTTTCAAGTTACAGAAGCCAACATTCCATTAAAAAAAATTCAATTAATGACCCGCTACTGATTCGAGAAGTGTTGATTGAGAAAGTAATGCTTAAAAACACCAGTAGAAAATTCAAATAGCGCTGTGGAATCTTCAATGTCCACTTGAACTGCTGATACATGGTTAATTTGGAGATCATTTCTCCATTCTTTCAACACTCCTTCAGTGCTGCAGTGACAATAACTACGTGCTCAGGCCCAGCCCAGGACCAAGTCTGACTTTATGGTGAGGGTGATACTCCTGAGCCAAATGGACATGAGTGGTCTAGTAATATAACCAATACATTTCCTTATAAGAAGGTATCTTTATTTACTATTGCAAGTAGCTAACTCATTTTATATTTCTACCCAGATAGAGAATAAATCACTTAAACAAAATTTCTTTAACTTTTTAAATGAAAGTTGCCTTTGAAAGTGGATTAGTAAGCATGGACTTCCTACCATCTAAATTATAACTCTAACATTAAAACAGATATTTACTGACTCATTAGATAATCTGTGAACATATAATGTACAATGATAACTCAAATCATGTGCCAAGTATCAATGGAAAGTTAAATCTCTCAACATCTGCCTCAAAACAAGGTTATCCACTCTACTCAATGTGTTCTTAAACTATGTGTTGGTTGGTCCCGTAAGGAGCTTTTTTTTTTTTTTTAAAAAGTTCACTCATGGGAGGTGGGAATCGCTCACTGGCCAGCATTTATTGGCTGTCCCTAGTTGCCCTTGAGAAGGTGGTGAGCTGCCTTCTTGAACTGTTGCATGCTGTGGGTTGACCCACAATGCCCTTAGGGAGGGAATTGCAGGATTTTGAGCCAGCGACAGTGAAGGAAAGGCAATACATTTCCAAGTCAGGATGGTGAGTGGCTTGGAAGGGAACGTGCAGTGGGGTGGTGTTCCCATGTATCTGCTGCCCTCGTCCTTTTAGATGGAAGTGGTCGTGAGTTTGGAAGGTGCTGTCTGAGGATCTTTGGTGAATTTCTGCAATGCATCTAGCAGCTAGTACACACTGTTGCTAATTAGCATCAGTGAGAGAGAGAGTGCAGATGTATTGCCAATCAAACAGACTGCTTTTTACTGGATGGTGTGAAGCTTCTGTAGGTATTCCATTGTGGACAGGATTTAGGTAGCCAGGTGGTGGGTTACTCATGGCAGTATTCCTAGCCTCTGATCTGCTCTTGTAGCCGGTGTTTATACAGCGAGTCCAGTTGAGTTTTTGGTCAATGGAAACTCAATGGTAACCCCAAGGATGTTGATAGTGGAAGATTCAGTGATGGTAACACCATTGAATGTCAAGGGGCGTTGGTTAGACGGTCTCTATTAAAAAAACTTTATCTTGGACAGTTACAATATTATTGCAAGTATTTCTCAAGCAAACATGAATCAGTAGGGAATGTATCCTGTTTTACTCTACTTTGAACAATGAAATTGAGGAAGGGATGAAAGAACTGTGAAAGCAGAAGTAATGTTGTATATTATTAATTTTGATTTTTTTTAAACACAGGAATTATTTAAAAATAAATTTTAGCCATGTCTAAGAACAGCACTCTCTGGGCAAGTAGCTAATAGAGAAATCTGGTGAAACAGTCACATTCCCAAGATGCTCATTTTGCTTAGCTGATTTCCTTTGTTTATTATTAATCTGTAGTCAGGAAAAACCATGCCAGAATACTGTTCAACCTCTCATTCAGATCTCTGAGCAAAGGTCCACACTGTAGGTGTTGTTATCTTCTAGATGAGATGTTAAACCAAAAGACATTTTAGTTGCCCATTAAATGTCCTGAGGCACTATTTTGAGGATAATATGAGAATATTTTCAAGATGCCCTGTCAATATCTATCTCCTAAACAAAATCTAAAGCAAATAGAGTCATAGAGATATACAGCACAGAAACAGACCCTTCTGTCCAACTCATCCAATGCTCACGAGATATCCTATATAAATCTAGTCCCATTTGCCAGTATTGGGCCCATATCCCTCGAAACCTCTCCTTTTCATGTACCCATCCAGATGCCTTTTAAACGTTATAATCGTACCTGCCTCCAGCACTTCTCTGGCAGCTCATTCCATACATGCATCACCCTCTGCGTGAAAAGGTTGGCCCTGAAGGTCCCTTTTATATCTTCCCCCTCTCACCTTAAACCTATGCTCTCTAGTTTTGTTCTCCTCCACCTGGGGAAAAAACCTTGCCTATTTACCCTAACCATGCCCCACATGATTTTATAAACCTCTATAAGGTCACCCCTCAGTATCTGACGCTCTAGGGAAAATAGCCCCAGTCTATTCAGCCTCTCCCTATACGTCAAACCCTCGAACCCTGGCAACATCCTCGTAAATTTTTCTGAACCCTTTCAAGTTTCGCAACATCCTTCCTGTAGAAGGGAGATGAGAATTACACGCAATACTCCAAAAGTGGCTGAGCCAATGTCCTGTACAGCTGCAACATGACCTCCCAACTCCTAATCTCAAAGCACTGACCATCAAAGGCAAGCATACCAAACACTTCCTTCACTATCCTATCTACCTGCAAACTGTTCTTCTAAGGAACTATGAATCTGCACTTCGAGGTCTCTCTGCTCAGCAACACTCCCCAGGACCTTACCATTAAGTGTATAAGTCCTGCCCTGATTTGCCTTTCCAAAATGTAGCACCTCACTGATATGTCTAAATTTAACTCCATCTGTCACTCCTTGGCCCATTGGCCCATCTGATCAAGGTCCCATTGTACTCTGAGGTAACCTTCTTCGCTCTCCACTACACCTCCAATTTTGGTGTCATCTGCAAACCTACTAACCACTCCTCCTATGTTCATACCCAAATCATTTATTTAAATATCAAAAGGCAAGGGACCCAGCACTGATCCTTGTGGCACACCGCTGACAACAGGCCTCCCATCTGAAAAGCAATCCTCCTCCACCACACTGTTTTCTACCTTCAAGCCAGTTCTATATCCAAATAGCTAGTCCTCCCTGTACAATCTAACCTTGCTAACCAGTCTACCATGAGGTCAAGCGCCTTACTGAAGGTCCATACAGATCACGTCAACCGCTCTGTGCTCATCAACCCGGTGTTACTTTTTCGAACAACACAATCAAATTAGTGAGACACAATGTCCCATGCACAAACCGATGTTGGCTATTCCTAATCAGTCCTTGCCTTTCCAAAATACATGTAAATCCTGTCCCTCAGGATTCCCTCCAACAACTTGCCCACCACCAATGTCAGACTCAATGGTCTATAGTTCGCTGGCTTTTCCTTACCACTTTTCTTAAATAGTGGCACATTGTTAGCCAAACTCCAGTAATTTGATCATCTCTGATTATTGTTTGTGGCATCTTGCTATGCAGCAATTAGCTGCCATATCACCTACATTAAGTACTCTTGAAGTGTAGCAACTCTAAAGTGCTGAAAAGCATTTTGAAATATCTCGAGGTTGTGAAAGCTGCTATGCAAGTCTTTTTTGAATGCATTAGGGGTTTTTAGACTGGACAAAGCAACTTAAAATCAATTTTGTATTTTCTAATCTACCTGTTCAGAGTTGTTATTGCACATCTCTGGAGCAGGTGAGATTTGAACCCAGAAATCTTGGCTCAAGGGGAGGGACACTATCACTGCACCACAGGAATCCCGATAAAATTCATTTGTTTATATCCAGAAGTGTACTTATGTACAACTGAACCATTTTTGTTTTCCCCATCAAATCACTCATGGTATGTTTTCACCTATCAGCAGTAAATCACCCATATTCTCCAACTGATTAATATATGTGCAAAGCTAACAGGGGCAATACTGACCATCAAAAAAGTGAGGGAAATGTAAAGAGAGGGGGACCCAATTAAATTCTTCAAGGATAATTTCAATATTGCTTACCTGGCAATAGTCAGTTCAAGTAGCTGCATTCTCCCATTTGCTACTTGTTCTTAAATTCAAACTAAGTACTAGCAGTGGTTCCAAGTCACTGGACTCGAAATGCTAACTGTTTCATTCCCCAAAGATGCTGCAAGACTTGCTGTTTTTCACCAGTGCTTTGTTTTCTTTCTCAGATCGCCAGCATTTGCATTAATTCTGCTTTTGTATCAGCAATGTTCATAGCACTCTTACAGAGTTGCGTCACAAGGTCTGTGTTCAAGTCCCACATCAGGACTCAAGCACAAAAATAAAGTGCTTATGTTGCAACATCGGATGACCTACTTTGCAAATGAGATGTCAAAATGAGACGCCAACTGCCCGTTCAGGTGGATGTGAATGATCCTAAGGCACTTTATGAAACTGCAAAGGGAGTTATCCTAATACCCTAATCGTTATTCATCCCTCAATCAGAAAAATAATTACCTGGTAATGATCAAATTATTACGTGCAATTTGGCTGTCTCATTTCCTATATAAAATTGCCATAAAACACTTTGAAATCTCTGGTGGTCATGAACAGTATCAAGTAAAATGCAAGTTTTTCCTTCTTCTTAAAAACTGTTCTTCAGAAGGGGGACATCTGCTGGAATGTTACAGCACATTCTCTCAGTATGTAGACTGGGTTGCAATGATGCAAATAAGATTCAACTGCAACTTAAGGCAGAGGCCTGTGCTTGTGCTGTTGATGTACAATTGCTAATGCCTAGC